ATAAATGAATACGTTAGCTAGTAATGGAAACTGAAAGAGTGATGGAGTGGATGGAGTGTTGATACATAAATCGATCAATAAATTAACAAATTGTCACTTGCACCCTCAAGTACATAAATGAATACTTTACTCTTACCGATTGTTATTTAATATTATATAGGGAAAAAGGAAAAATGTATAGAAAAAATATCAAATAAATATATGTATACATATGTATATGCATGCATACACACGTACATACCATACATAAGGATGTGCATACTTTAACACACACATAAATACACATACTTACTATAAATACATACATATATTTAATTATACACTCTTTTAAAACACTCCCACACGTCTTACCCATTTTGCATATGTATGTAGGCCGCATATATTGGATGGCAATTCAAATGACGAAATAAGATGTAAACAACATACATACATACATACGTATGTACGTCATAATTAACGCATATAACTAAAAATACACTTACATCTCTATATACACCTATGTAAACATATAGCATAAAATTACAATGTATGGTATATCGTATGTAGCGGCAGTGATTGTTAAATTGCTTTGTTTGTTTGTATTAGATTTTATAATTTATAGCAATAATAAAAAAAAATAATAAGAAAACAGAATGACTGATAAATTGCAAAAATAAAGTACATCTAATAATGAATAAATAAATAATAAAAACAAAATATTTATTGAAAATGTTGTTGTTTTTTGACATTGACTTGAAACACAAAATAAAAATATCCACGAATATTAAAAAAAAAATTTTAGCGGTGGCAATCAAGGTTTGGAATGTTTTTTTTAATCGCAAAAATTCCACAAAATTTTTACTTGAAACCTGATAAATTTGACATTCTATTGCGACGTATTCGGCATAAATGTAGAATACCTACAATTCTCAAATTAAAAAAAATCATATTGGGATCGATGGAGATCATTGAGGTGAGCGTAACGATACATATAGTTTTTTGGGAAACAACAACTAAAACAATTATTAAAGCTCAAAGTTTAAATTAAGCATTTTTTTAAATTAATATTTCTCGAAAACCTCTTCAAGGATTTGGAAAATTTTGATGTCATTTGATAGAGAATTTAATTCTCCTTAATTTGATGGTAGCGGCCCTCAAAAATTTGTTTAACAGTGCGAAAATTTCTTGGATCTATTTATTTTGTACAAAGAACAAAATAGAGGGGTAATCCATGATGTTCATACTTTAAGGACCAACCAAGGATGTATACATACATATGCATGTAAGTAATAACAGTAATAATAATAGATTGGTCTTACACAATAAGTTAGTGTTTGGCCGAGCTTCTCACACAAATAGGAGGGCCCTACAGTTTACTGCCGACTCCGAACGGCGACTGTATTAAATGAGAGCTTGTTTTCCGAGGCAGAAATAGACTTTAAGGTTTGCCATTTTATTTTATTTTTGTTTTTGATGCTAGTCGGAAACTGGGCTCTAACCCAGGGCCGGCGGAATTGTAGTGCGCACTCCTTCAATAAACATACGCAAGTACATAAATATATGTATTTTCATTGAGGGTATTCACCGAATGCCATGCAAACCATATCAACTTATTTCATAATTATATCAACTTTCAAAATTTAGTATGAGAAATAGTTTTAACACAAATAGTTTTAAAGCAAAAAAACACAGCCGACTTCAATGCTCATATGAAAATTTAGGAGTACAGCTAATTTTTTTCAAGATGCAATGATCGGAACTAAACCAAATTACCAATCCAAAGCAATAAAATCAATGACAGTAATAAAAGTAGAGAGAATATCACACCCTCGACAACAAATTCAAAGGAAATACCTCCGGCACCGAACAGAGAACTACTAATCGAGATGAAAACGTCCTCAGTGCCGAACCCGGAATTGTAAAAGTATGTACAAATTATCCTCATTTTATAGCTTAAGTAAATAAATGTATTAGCCATACAAAAGTCTCCCCTAGCAGAAAAAAGTGATGACAGTGGTATAGAAAAGAAACTTAAGTTTTCCTTGAGGGGCGATAAAAAAAATAAAGCGCAACAAATTTGACAGCTAATCATTTCAGATTTTACTTTTTAAATGAGTTAATTAACAAACGATATTTGATTGAGATTATAGCTGTGATCCAGTACTGCATGAACTTACAGGTTTTTACTCGAACTTGCAGGAAGTTACAGGAAAAATGATCCTGTATTCCAAATTCCTCCAACTTCCTGTAAAGGAGAGCGATTTTTAGAGAGTTGTATAGAGAATGAAAAATGAAATGAAATGGTAAAATCATGAATAGTGTCAAGCGATCACTGGTTGACGTGCCGGAAAAATGCTTTATTTGTTTCCATACTTTTTGTTGTTACTCACTTTTTACTCTCACTTCAAAGCGTAATTCTGCTATTTGACATTTTTACAGGATTTTAGACGAAAAGTATTGGATCAGAGCCTATATTTACATATGTATATGTAAACGTACTTTTACTTCAAAAGCAAACTGCAGTACAGAATAACTTACATATGTGAAGAATTAAAAAACTCTCATCATCTCGCTTAAATTAAAGGAAGCACGCGTTCTAAGGAAAAAGAAATGTATCAAAATAAAATTCAACGAAATCCAGATCCAAATATGATTTTTCCATTACTCCACAACAAAATATTGTTATTTCCAAATTAAATTAATTTTAAATTATTTACAGAATTGCAAAAAAAATTCGCGAGTGTTATACGTATTATTAGCCGCCTTCGAATCGCTACTTCTCTGCTCGCTATGTTTGACTTCCGTTCGCTTAATGAAAAATTTTTTATGTGAAATAGACTGATTAAAAACAAAAAACAGCCCCAGCTTTATTACCTCCGGAGGGATGTTAAAAGATGCCTGTTAAAAGCGCGACCTTTAATATTAGATAAGTTTAGGATTTTTATTTTCCATACAAGTTACATAGAAAAAAATTGTTTTCAACTTTGGAATTTGAATTGGGATTGGAATTGGGTTAAATTGCAGTTGCATTATAAATATACATATCTGCAGTGGTGGTCACATAATTAGGGACACTACTTCTTTATAAATACGTTTCGCCCATTTATTATTTTTTCTCAATTAAGTTTAAACTTATTTATTTTTTTCAAAATTATACGAAAACGAAAACCATGGAATTCAAAAATTCAAACATTGTAAAAGGTTGATATAATGATACAGAAAATGGACATATTAATTTCATACTTTTTCATCAGAATTTCTAGAAAATCTTCGGGTATCTAGTAAATTTAGTTAAATTTTAGTATAATACTGCGCAAGTTTTTAAGCGGCCAGATATGTTGATTTTTGAGCTTCCTTTTCGCTGACGGCGTTAACGATTTTCTTCCATATAAAGTATCTTAATTTTTTTATATTAATATAAGACCGATTAGCCGATGTGTTTCTTGAAATCCTGGTTAAAAAGTTTGAAATTTTGATGGCCTTTCGAAAAAGGCGATTTTTAAGAATCATGTACAAAGTTTGAGACTTTGAGTTACTTGGTTTTCGCTTCTGTATATATACATATACATCTATAAACTATTTTTTTGAAAGAAAATATTAAAAATAAATAACGAAAAAAATAAATGGCAAAACTAATGAAGAAATAGTGTTCCTGATTATGTGGACCCCACTGTATGTACATACATACAAATCACTCGTACAAGTGTTCACGTGTTGAGTTTTTTTTTCAATATTCACAATGTTTTTAAAGTTAAAACGTTATTGTTATTTTGTTTATAAAAATATTGTTGATGTATTAACCAACCAATACCAATTGCCCATAAAGTTTTGGGATTGTCTATACTAGGGCCTTCAATCCCGAAGCATTTTAACAATCACGGGATTTAGGGATTAAAAAATTCTAATCTCGGGATCCTGAGATTTTTCGGGATTTCGACTTCATCACATTTTTTTTTTCATTTTACAGTAGCTTCGCCTTTTTCAAACCACACAGATTCATTGTCACCACATTTGGTCTTAGGGGAGCATAATGCCCCGTAATAAAAGAGTCCGTAATTCAATGTTTAAATATTTTTATAGTATTCTAAAATATCTGTATTATTTGTCAAAAACATTTACTCATATTTGCAGAAATCCTTTTTCAAAAAATGCCACCAAAGTAAAATGATGAACAACTCTGCCATCTGCTGGTTGTGTTTTCAATTGATTTCAGATTTTTCGTTATTATACAGTTCTTGCACAAAATGTTTGAGTACATTTATTCAGGCAGGTCCTGAAATTCTTTTCCAAGTGCAAATGGCTCAGGTTCACTTGCAATCCAAATTTTGGTGTCCTGTATTTCTCGTGTTTCATGTCAAATTAATTAATTTTTTTTCGTTTTCAACATCTCTTTCATTCTGTAAATGAATCAAAAAAAATTTCGGGATCTAGTAGCTGTAATCCCGGGATTTCGGGACATGGGAAAGTGTCCGGGATCCCGGAATTGAATGCCCTCGGCCAAAATTTGACAATATATTCTTGAATTTTTCTAAATTTTGTATAAATTTTGAAATTTTTTTTATATGGTTTGGGTACAGCAGGAAAAATAAACCCTGAATCACAAACGGGTGCATATGCTCTTGCATTTGCACATAAAAAAAAACATAGCAAAAACATTTTAAATTGAAAAACATTGTAAATATTTAAGAAAAATTAAATATTTTATTAATACATGTATACATATGTACATAAATAGTAAAAAAGCGACATGCGCACACTTGTACATCCATCAGCACATGAAGTAAGCATCATAATGCAAATATTTTGTAAGTTGGGTGATATCCAACAGCAGTGATAACACTGTGTTCGCGTATGTAATCGTGTTTTGCTTGCATATGAACGTCCACATCTACATAAAAGTATATGTATGAATATGTATATATACACACGAACACGTACATAAGTTGAAAAGCGCTTTAGATGATAAGCAAGAGAACAAAAAAATTGATTCATTTATTCTCACTTGACATTGCGTTTTATAGCGAGCGAGTGATCGACTGATGCGTACTCAAGTGGTGGCTTTTTAGTCTCTAATAAATACTCGCCGCAAGTGTTGGGGCAGTCAGTGCTATTTGTTATTGTGCAAAGTACTTGGATTGATTAAATCATTTTTTTCTATCGAAATGCAGTTCGTTGCAACTGGTAAAATTTTAATTGTTTCATATTAATAACGTTTATGTACGTATGTATGTATATAGAGCATCCACATCGGCGCTTGAACCCTTTGACTGGCCAGTGGGTATTGGTGAGCCCACATCGTATGCGTCGACCATGGACCGGACAGCAGGAAGCGCCACAAAAGAGCAATATACCTGATTTCGATCCCACTAATCCGCTAAGTCCAGGTGTAGCACGACCAAATGGAACGGTAGGCTATGAAAATAATTTAAGTAGGCATTCTTAAGTGAAGCCATTCTAAGAGGCCTACCCAAGAAGGCCTTAAAACAGTGCTTCCTTGCATGCCTTCTATTAGGACGAAGGAGGAAGTCCTTTCGGAACTTTTCAGAAAGGCTTTTAACTCCTGAAATTATCTACTGGGTACCTATTATGTGCTTATGTATGTACGTACATACATTTCACATACATCATGTACATTTAAATATGTATTCCAAGCCTAATTGCTGTCTACCTACTATGTTCTACAGGTGAATCCGAAATATACAGGCACATTTGTTTTTACAAATGACTTTCCAGCTCTAATGGAAAACAACCCAGTCCCGCCACCTTCGGATGATCCTCTTTTTCAGGTGACCGAAGCACGAGGTACATGCAGAGTGATGTGTTTCCATCCTAAATCCAATGTAACACTGCCACAAATGACCGTTGCGGAAATACGAGCCGTCATAGATGAGTGCGAATTTAGTTCCCTGTATTCCACTTATACAAATATTGCTTTAGTAATGCATGTTTACATTCTCAATCATACAGATGGATTAAACAGTTTGATGAGTTGAGTAAAAAATACCTTTGGGTACAGGTATTCGAAAACAAGGGCGCCGCCATGGGCTGTTCAAATCCACACCCACACTGTCAAATATGGTGCTGTTCATTTTTGCCATCGGAACCGCAAACAAAAGACGAACGTTTACGCAGTTATTTCAGCAAGAATGGTAGACCATTATTAGATGACTATGCGAAACGTGAGGTGGAGCGTAAGGAGCGTGTTGTTGTTGAGAATCGCGATTGGTTAGTTGTGGTACCATTTTGGGCAGCATGGCCTTTTGAGACATTACTTATCTCTCGGAATGATAATAAACGTATTAGCGATGTGACACCGGCACAAAGGGATAATTTGGCAAAAGTAATCAAGGAGCTAACTATAAAATATGACAACTTATTTCAATGTTCGTTTCCATATTCGATGGGCTTTCATGGTGCACCGACTGGAGAGGCCAGTGGCGCAGACTTAACACATTGGACGCTTCACGCGCTATACTACCCACCATTGTTGCGCTCCGCAACGGTTCGTAAATTCATGGTCGGATTTGAATTGCTCAACGAAGCGCAGCGCGATTTGACACCTGAGCAAGCAGCACAACGCTTACGAGAAATTAGTGGTGAACGACATTATACGGAGAACTAATGCAAAATCCATTAATTATTTGAGCGATACATACTGAATGGTTTAAATATATCGCATATCTAGGATTATAGCTGTAAGCAATTGACTTTTATCAAAGCGATCTCTCGTAGCAAATTATTTCTTAAAAATATATACAGGGTATGTAAATCAAAAGCAATAAAATCATTGGTTTTTAATTTGCAAATACAGTCAATATTTATTGTTAAATACATAGAAAGCACATACATATATGCAAATGCGTGTATAATGTAAATTTAATATAACCTACTATCTATAAGTCTATCTTAGCAGCTATGAATATATGCACTATTGAAAACATTATACGCACAACTCGGTTCTTGTATTGTTTACTAAACATCCATCAATTGTTATAACAATTATTGCCGATATTTTTATATTTTAATAATTTCACATAAACGTTTTAACTCACAAAGCTACATTAAATACATCAGTAATACATTGGCAAATAATGTAGGATATAAAGAATACTTAGTTTTGAGCGGTCAATTCACATCAAAGCAAAGTATTTTATTTGATTAAAAATTTGCCACGTATTATATACTGTAACCGATTGAGCTACAGCAGCTTTAATCGGGCTTCAAAAATGTAACATTGCATAATTTCCGAATCGCCGAAAATCTCACGATTAACGCCTTAAAATTTCTTCATAACTGCTCGACTCTCTAATGCTTGCATTTCATTCAAAAGTAGAGCTACATTATAACGCAGTTGATGGAACATTGCAAGTGGAAACTCCAAAGTGCGATATCGACCATCTGGTAGTTGAAAGTGCAGTATAATAGTTGGAGCATTAATACTGCCATTGCACGCGCTGTGGAAACAATGAGTAGATTCGATTTTTTACTACAAATTATATACACATGCTTTCATTCTTACCCTTCCCCCAGTGATATATTAATGCGCCATTGCATGTTTTTTGGTTTAGAACGTGATGTCTTTGCCTCAATGAAATTTTTTGTTAATGAGGCACGATGATTGTAGAGTACCTTGCTTAAATCGTCGACGCATTCGTCTGTAAACCTGAATGTAAAAAAGAAAAACAGCAAAACCAACAGTCGCCGTAGATATATCGTGTTCTTTTTTTTTAAAGTACTTACCTCAGTTCCTTTAGGCAGTCTCGTAGTTCATAATCCTTAACAATACCTTTTGGTGTACGCAAAAATATTTGCATTATTTGTAGCACAGCCGCAAATAATTCACAAAAATTGTCTGGAATAACATGGCCGGAATGGGTGAGTTTAGTTAACTCCAAGTCTAGCTCCTCCGGTGAACACTTCGAACTCTCCAGGTAATGTACAGAAACCTTGATGAGTACCCGAAGTACCGGTTTTGTTAGTTGTGGAAAATATTTAACATATGGACGCACTGTGCGCACCATTGTATATCTGAAATTCGAAGACATTTTTAATGAAAATGTCGCTTTAGCCCGAAAATAAAATTTCAGCAAATTGACTTTCAGCTTTTGTTTTGCTTTTAAGAAACAGCTGTTAACGTAGGGTTACCATATCAACATTGTGTTGACTATTTAATGGAGATTTTATTAGTGTAGACATAAACCATTTGCTAAAGCCTCAAACACAATGAAATCTATCTCGTTGCTGTTGAATGGGGTAATTACTCAATCGTTGTAGGTAAGAGAGCGCTGTTTCGACGGGGTCGGACCAAAGAGGGGAGATGAGAAGTCTTCACATGCAGGACATATGTAGGTAGATATATAGATATGAATAAAGTAAACACTGCGACCAAAAGTCTATCGTTCCCACGACAGTCGGGTCTACGTAACCGGAACGACCCAGCTTTCTATCTGGTCAAGGACTGTCCCTCCAGCAACACTCCCTAAACACTTTGGGGAATTTGTATGTTGTTACAACAACATGTGCTATTCTCTTGGTCATATTTAATATAAGCAGCACCTATCCCTTCTTCGTGGAATGGCCTCGCACTCCAGGAGAAGATGCAATGGTGTCGCAAGAGTGGCAGAGCCTGTGTGTGCATGCTGATCAGTATTCAGAGGTGCCTCTTAGAGAGCGTTAGACCTGATTTCGTGGTCGATAAATTTCTCCATTACCTTCAGCATAAAGGAGTTGCGCGTTTTCGGCCTGAAAGACTTAGTGAGAGAGTGATCTCTCCTACCTTTCTTCTGAATAAAAATAACGTGGTTGTAAACTCGTCCCAGTTTTTCGTGCGCTTTGCCTGATTGAAGAAACTGCACACCCCTTTCCCCCACTTTGACTTGGACATGGGCAGCTAGAGTTAAAGACATCCAAAATGATGCCCAAAAATCAGCCCGCTGACCCTGTCTTCTAACTCAATGCAGTCAACTTTTTTATATTTTGAATTTAAACTAGGCAGGTTAGCCCTGAGTAGTTCATTATACTTAACCCAGTCAGTTTTCCTGGGGTTCCTCTGGACGTAACCTATTCTGACCTCATCTCCCAGTTGGAATCGGATAATTCTGTAATCCGACAGAGACGGCTCTGTCGAGACCCTCCACTGGGTGATTAGATGGCTACTTAATCCGTTGCTGAGAGATGTAAAGTGTTTCCTCTCTAACCATAGTAACGATGATGGTTCCCCAGTGAATGCCATTGATTACCTGTCTATACAATGTTGGGTCCAGTGGTTGAAGTATGTAGTTCTAGACCTCGTCCTTTAATCTTTAGCCCACGTGAAAATATTAAAATGTATGAATTTTATGAATGAAGTGTGAACAAATTATTTTTATTATAACTTTTGAACTAAGGGTGGACTAACGAAAAAAAAGGTTGGGCTAACCCGGGCTAACCTTGGGCAATCGAATGAGAGCGTAAAAGCATTGAAATTCACAAATGAAGGGGTCAGAATCATAAGGGTCTAAGTGCCATTTTTTGAAAATATAAGTTATACCCATATCTGTATAGTTAAATAATAATAATAATAATAGTAATAATAGATTGGCGCTTACACATATGTTAGTGTTTGGCCGAGCTTCTCCTCCGATTTGTGGCGTGCGCCTTGATGTTGTCACACAAAGCGGAGGGACCTACAGTTTTACACCGACTCCCAACGGCGATTGTATTTTTATGAGAAGCTGTTTTTCATGGCAGAAAAACACTCGGAGGTTTGCCGTTGCCTGCCGAGGGACGACCGCTGTTAAGAAAAACACTTTTTTCTATACTTTTGCGATGTTGATTTGACCTGGGTTTGAACCCAGGTGTTGCGGAGTAGAAGCGCGCACTGCTTACCACTACACCACAGCGGCCGACTAGTTAAATAGATGTAGTATTTGTTTGCTGAAAAAGAGTAAACATTCTTTGAAATAGTTAATTTACCTGCATTCATGTAGGCAAGACTCATTTCAAATGAATTTATCCAGAATTTACAATAAGTAATCAACTTTAACTTTAATTATCTTAAAACAATGTCAGACCTACTTAGATTTGATTCTAAGCCCTTCAAATATTAATTTTGAGTTTTAAAAAATTTATTTTTGTTATAGCTTTTGAATTAAGGGTGGGCTAATAAAAATAAAAATTGGGCTAACCTTAGGCAAACGAACCTGATAGCTTTCGTTCGAAAATTCGCATTACGGGGTGCCAACTTCACACCTGATGGCAAGATAGTTCGAAAGATTTTTGTTATTCTAGCACAAAAGTTTTGGCAACAAAGACTCTCTCATACACAACTCGTTGTGAAAAGCCATTTTGAGAGAAAGCACTTGTATATCATTCAGCTCGCCTTACTTCAACAGTCGGAACTTTTATTTTTTTATCAATTTTATTTTATTTAATATTTGTGATTTTTTATTTTTAAAAAGTAAAATTTTTAGAAATTCATTTTAAGTGTTCTTTAAGTTTCCTTTTTAATTTAATTTTTTTTTAAGTTTCTTTGATGGTGTAGTTATTGTTTTTAAAATAATATTTTTTAATATCATTTAATTCTTAGGAACCTATTGCTCCTTTTTTTAGTTTTTTAGTTAAATGTTCTTTTGATTTTTTAGATTTTATAGTATAAGGAAGAAAATAAATTTTTTTAATTACTTTTTATTAAAAAAAATATAGTTTTTTACTTCATTTAATTTTTTGGATCTTACTATATTTTTTTAATTATTTGTTTTTTTTTATAAAAATATTTTTAATCTAATTAAATTTTTAAGTACTATTTCCTTCTTTTTTGAATAAGTTTTTTTCCGTTTCTAATTTAATGTTCTTTTACTTTTTAATTTTTAATAAAATAGAAAAAGATGTATATATTTTTAATTTAATTTAGTTTTTAAAAAACTTATTGCCAAAAGGCGAACAGCATAACGCTGCTCCTTTGCAAATATTTCAATTAGTCTTTCGAAAGACAGTAAAGAGCTTTCAAGATAGTTGCCAGAAGTGACCATTGTCTTACGAAAGACTTTCGAATGACTGTGGTGAGTTGAAAGCCAGTTCCAGAATTGTTTTATTTGCGCCGAGGTTACAAAGGGTATCATGGCTTTGACCATAAACTTTCTATAGACCAGTTAGCTGTTAACTCTAAAATTAAAAAATGGGTGTGACCTGCACTTTTACTACTTGCACGCATTGGACATACATACGCACACACATAAATATGTTTATGCGCTTTCACTTAATTCACTCTCGTACAAGTGATCTTAGCTTCTTGTTGCTATTCCAGTAGCCCTTTGTGAGTTAAATAAAATTCCATTTTTTTTTGTGCCATACAACCATTGGCTGCAAAATATTTACGTATGTAGCTCATAAAATCGTATTTGCTGATTCTTTTCGTGCCAAGTTCAATATCATTTATGCAATTGGACGACGGGGGCATTTCATTTAAAAGCTTAATGCTTTGGCACATGCATACATATGTACATTTGTAGGCAAGTACATAAATATGTACATACGTATATATATGAAATTAAGCAGTTATTTTTAGGCAGCCATAATTCGTCATAATTTCTCGATCAAGTGCAACATATGTATGTACTCGTATTTGCTAACTTTGCAATATCTCCCCCAATTTCCCCATTTTTATGTTTGGCGCTCGCAGCATTAATTTACCCAGAGCGCAAAATATTTGCCTACTTTGTGAGTGTAACTCACACAAAAACACATTGAGTACGGACATATAATTAGGTACACAGTGTTACAAAAACTTGTTTTGATGATATATCGATTTTTTTTTCTTTTGATATTCACCCCTTTACCAATTCTTCTTCTTTTTGCAAATAATGTACCTGTTGACAATTTTAAATTGAGTTCAATATATCGAGCTCTCACCGCGAATTTAACGTGAGCAAAAGATCATTTTTGCAGAGGCAGGCCTCGCGGAAGACCGCGCGAAACGTGAAGAGGAACAGTTTATCGAGAGGTGAAGCAATTCGGGTTAAGCTGGAAGGAGTTCGAGGCGATTGCCAGAAACAGAACCGAATGGCCTATTGTAGATGGCCGCTTATTCCATTCTTCCTTTATAATTTCCCATAAAAAGGTCTTACTCGCCGGTTTTCTCGCTTAACGCTTGGGGTCGTTGTCTTGCTGAAAGATCCGAGCTAGTGTCAAGTTATTCGGGTAATTCCTATTTAAAGACTCCGCTAAAATATCCCCGTATGTACAACTGGCCAATTTTGCTTCAATTTGCACAAGTGTACCCAGATGAAGCGAATCGTCCCCATATCATTACAGATGATCCACCATGCTTAGCAATTTTTTTGTGCATCTGGGGTACAGTTCCTGCAATCGTGAACGCCTGACCTAGGGTCTGCCTTCATTGCCAAAAACATTTAACTTGGATTTATAACTCCACACGACCGGGTTCCAGAATATTTTTTAACCGACTTCAGAAAAAAATGTATGTTACCGTATAACATTGGACTACGACAACCGATTTCTATAATTCTTTTTTTTTTAAGGAAAGGTGGTCCCATACTAATTTGGTTTAGATTCGATTATTAGATCATGAAGAAATAAACGATACTCTTTCATTTTTGTAAGAGAATTGACTTGTTGTTGGTACTGTTTCGCGAACGCTAGCGTTATTTTTATGTATTTATGTATATGTATATGTATTTACGTATTTATTTTTCCAACATATTTGATTTGTCCATTAACGGAATTTTCCTGCCATCGTTGGCGGACTGTTTGAGCTGATTTTTTTCACAATATTGTACTGCTCTATCTGAGCCCCTATTTCAATGGAGGACATATGCAATAGATCTGCTTTACTCCTCCGATCGTTAAGTGGGGTAGTTTTCCTTGGCTTTTAGCGGAGCAAATTGTTAAAAGTCTTCTGTTTTTATATAACACTGGAGAGCGCTTGGCACTCTGCCTCTGGATAAATACAAAACTTCTGTTACTTTTCTCATGTTTTTGAACTTCTGTAAACACACCAATATAATTTTTCTTTCGCATGGAGCATAACTACGGTGACCATCCGTCCTTTATTTTAAAGGGCAGTCCTTTATTTTAACCCCCTGTCCTTTATAATTTTTGTCAAAATAAAGGACGCCATTTGTCCTTTATTTCTTAAACTGTCCTTTAAATGAGCTTTCGATTTTTCAGAGGTCAATTTTTAAACAGGGAATATGACAAAATAAAAATGTCCCTTATAAAGTATAATGAAAACCTTTCGCACCCCACTTAAGGGTTTTATTTAATCGGTAATCTTTGTACAATCTATAAATCACGAATCATTGCTAATACTGATGGGGGAAATTTATATATGTAATTAAAAAAAAATNAAATAAAGGACGCCATTTGTCCTTTATTTCTTAAACTGTCCTTTAAATGAGCTTTCGATTTTTCAGAGGTCAATTTTTAAACAGGGAATATGACAAAATAAAAATGTCCCTTATAAAGTATAATGAAAACCTTTCGCACCCCACTTAAGGGTTTTATTTAATCGGTAATCTTTGTACAATCTATAAATCACGAATCATTGCTAATACTGATGGGGGAAATTTATATATGTAATTAAAAAAAAATATATTAATATTTAGACATTTTCATAAAAAAATTAATATACTTTGAGTAAAATTCATTGTTCACAAAAGCACGCTGAGTTTCCAGTTCCACTGAAAAATAACAATAAACCCCCGCTGGCTTCATCGTGAAGTATGAATAATGATAAAGGCATTTTGGCAGCAAAGGATGGCGAAGTCCTTTATGAGGATTTGATTTCATTTTTCGGAATCGGTTAAAATCCGGTTGCAGTGCCTTTCGAGAAGTGGAACTTGTGCAATTAAATAATATAATTAACTGGTAAATATTTGATCTAAATATGCTTGAGGTACTTTTATCATACAAGTTGATGTACGTTTTTCCAAATCATTTTGAAAATATGTCCTTTATTTTACGTTGGTTAATATGGTCACCGTAAGTATAACTTATATTTTTTACCATTTTTCTAAATACTCTGCGTTAAAGCAAATTCTAGTAAAACATTTCACGTTATTTGTAGTCTTACAGTTTTTTTTTCAAAATGGCTTGATTATGAGCGCACGCGTAGTGTGAAAAAAATTTAAAATTTCCGCGAACGACAAAAACATAACGTTCTGTTCTCGCTTTCAGTAGTTATTGCAGAGATAATGGAATTTTTTTCTTACCACCAGTAAGTCAACATATTTTATCTTGTTCGGTGGCTCAACTAATTAAGAACGGCTACATCTTAAGTCTAAAAAAATACTTGCGTGTACTAGATATTTAATATTTGTTTGGAAACATATTGATTTGAATCAGTTGGTTTATATATGTACATATAAAATAATTTCCCTCCCCTCAACCGTTATCAAATATAAGGTGAACAACTTCTCGGTGTGGTGCTTTGGGTATTTTTCTCAGGAACCGTAATCATTATGATTAAAATTATTTAAATTAGCACTTAATCATTATTTTATGACTTTTATGTTTTTAAATACAAATTATTGCTGAGTTTTATTTTTTCGCTCAATGGAAATAATTATCATTTGATTTTTAATTTTTTGATTACAAATAATGATTATTTCATGAAATTTTATTTTTTCTCTCAGGGACAATAATTATTTTTGAGTTTTATTTTTCCATTTAAAAATAATGATTACTTATATTATTATTATTATTTTTAATCTTTATTGATTAAACTCGAAAAATAAAAATCATTGTAAATTGCAGTAGGACGTACGAACACAAATACGTGAGTATAATTAAAATTTTTTTTACGGCGATTACAACTTTTTGATTTTTTAGGTTAAAATTTAGAAAATAATGATTATTTTCCGTCCCTGATTTTTCTATTGTGTCTCCGGGAATTACGTCTGCACACAAAAAAAGTGGTGTGCGCTTTTAACCAAACCCACCTACCGATAAGTATTTCGACTCACTAAATCCGAATCTAGGGTCTGTTTGACTCATACACCTCCTAAATGTCGAGTTAATTGTATCCGAGTCAAACGGACCTCAGATTTAGAATCAGCGGGTCGAACTACATGTCGGTAGGTGGGTCTGGTTAAAGGCACACACCACTTATTGATAGATCTTATGGCATCAAAATGTCTAAGACATCCTGTTGTGCTACCAGCCTTGATTTTATTGGCCTCCCGGAGTGATAAGCATAGGTTTCATGCTAAAATAATCCAAGAAATATGCTTTAAATCATCAAATGAGGGTTTGTTATGTCACTGTTATTTATCTTTCAACTTTCGGGATGGGATGTCTTTGCTATACTGATAGCAAAGTGTTAAATAGTTAAATCCTCAGTATGAACCCGGACAAGCATTGCTGCTATGTATTTTTGTATAATTATGTTGAAGCATATGAAAACAATGTAGAGAATAAGTTGCAGCTTCGGCAGATAGACATACGTATATATGTATGTATATAGTTTCACTAAACTTTCGTCGGGTCCCATCAGTATTCATGGAAATGGAATGGCCAACGAGCTACCCAGGAACGGGCCCGCTCTGGTTCTTATGCCTCTCAGATATGTAGTGCCATATTTCTCTGTACTTCGAAAATTTGGTAAACAGCAGGTGCAAACATCTTCAATACTTTACGGTTTGTAGGATTCTAGACTGCCATTACGCTGCCACTACACTGGGGCTTGGCCACTCAGGTAGCAAAACTAGAATTGAAACACACTTCTCGTCGTATCTGTAAATGAGTTATATGCAAGAGAAACGGTAGAGCATCTGATGTGCAACTGCGGAGCACTGAGTATGACCAGAATTAGGCTTCTAGGAAAATCTTTATTTTGGATCTGATGACCTGCCAGTTGAGCTATTCAAGTATGGTGGCGAGGAGTTGCATTAACACTTACATGCATATGTAGAATATGGTCGGATTAACAAATGCCTCAAGGCTGGAACCTAAGTGTGCTCTGCCTAGTACACAGGAAAGGCGACCGGGATTAGGTTTTTAAACTTAAGGCCGTCGTGGCCGAGTAGTAAGAAATGCACCCTACGACCCTACGGTAGGACCCAGGCGCGATTCATATGTGGGACAACATCAAGTGCAAAACGCCGATTGGAGAAGTAATTTCTAATACTTTGATAAATTGTTTTTTTTTTTTTTTTTCAGGTTCATAGCATACCATGAGTTCACCAAACACCAAAACTTGAAAAAGATTCGCAGAGCACACCATCTCCCCACTGCTTTTCTAGTCGCCTTCAATAGCAGGTAAATCCATCGCTTACACGCCGATATGTCTGAATTTGGTATTCCTCCGAAACTAATACGGTTTGGCAAAAGGACAAAGCAATACCAGCAGTTCCATTAGCATTAGGAAGAACTCATCTGACGCATTTTATACTGAAAAGAAGAAAAGGTTTCGTGCCACCTCTTTTATCGGATGCTAGAAAAGATAATAAAACCCGTAGAACTAAATCGTTCCGGAAATTTTTTTTACAAGAGCTGATATAATCGATATAATGGCCTTCCACAACCGCACCTGTAGCTGCGGCGGATCCCGCTGCTGGCAGCAGAGGAAGCCGTCTACTGCAAAGGAAAGAGAAGTTGGAGGATAGTTTGGTTGCATTGGGTATTTCTAATCGGCGTCAGCTGACAGAAAAGAAACACGACTGGACTCAAACAAGCTGAAACGACTATAGCGCCAACCAAGAAGAACAATTTTGGTTTTTATAAAATTAAGCCTGGAGCAAAATACATACTTACTCTTCGTTCTTAATTAGTTGGCAGTAGCTGTCTACACACATCCGAAATGGAGTAAATGCCTCTCACCGGCAATGCATGTCAAATGTTTCTCCAAATTGTGTTTCTCTGAGTCGACTCAGCTGCACTCAGCTCGCAGACAAGTCCAAACCATCCAAACGGTACACACAGCCACTGGTGAGGCTTTGACCATGGCGTGGTGTGCTATGCTGGCGCTGCTAGCCAACCAACCAACTTACCAGCTAGCCAACCATTCAAACCACACCACTTGCCGTTGCCACCAGTGCGCTAATAATTGTTGTCGTTGCCGTCATTGCTGCTGCCGTTGCCATCGACGTTGCTGTTGGTGTGGTTATTTTTTTTTTTTTTTTTTTTTAATTTGCGCTCTTGCTGTCTTGCCACAGCTCTACAGTCACAGCCACATCCATAGCAACTTTCCGAGTGTGCGCGCGCCGCCGTTGCTTTTATTATTCAATTGAATTCAAAAATACTATAAGGTATTCGTCAGATACTTTATGTACGAGATACTACTCAGCTTGTCAGCTCGACTCACCAATTGGTCTCAGTCAGTTCTTGGTGAACCGTTGTGCTGGTCGTGCCGTTGTCGCTGCCGTTGTTTAAAACTCTCTTTACTGCCATATAAAACTTGTTCCGTGTGTTTATTCTTGTTGTTGGTGCGTTTTAAAGTACAGGTTTAGCCTTAGCCTCGACTTGAGGGTGTGCTTCAAAGAGTTAGTGTATTAGTAAATAATTTGTACATACTCGCATATAGGTCTGTAGATATGTATGTATATGTATGTACCGCAGTGTATGCATGTGTGTGTGTGTGTACGTGTGTATGTATGTATGCGTTGTCTACATTGGATAGTCTGTTGTCCGTTGGTGTACCGGATAATTATAATTGAAAATCTCCAAAAACAAAAAAAAATAACAGTTGTCTTCGTCCCGACCGCGCCAACCCTACATTCATACAGCCACCGCCTAAGAGGTGCTGCCACACACCATTGATGGCTCCAACATATTACTCAGTTATTGATTTTCATTTTGTTCGGTGACTATGTCGTTGGATTTGCAATTGCAGCGACTTACGTTTTTGAGATAATTAAAAGACAGCTGCTGAAAAACACTTGCGCGCACCTCTAGCGCTTTAAATTAATGGTTACGACAAACTTTAAAAGATTGTGAAAACAGAAATTCATGAGTGCCAAGCTTCCAAATGCGTCAGCGATGTGGATAACACTCATTGTGGCGAAGCCAAGTTGTGTGAACAATTGAAGAATGTGCTACTTTTTTTTGTGTTCCAAGCTTTAAAAGACTCGTAAACCAAGGCGGCTGCTGCTGCTGCACCAAAAGCACTTGCTACTTTGTGCATCTATGCATGTGCATACATATATATGTATAAATGTACATATGTATGTGGATGTGAGTGTGAAAATATTTGTACAAATGTTGAAAAGTATACATGGCAATAAATAATGAAAACATCAGCAATAATAAGTTGAGTCTCGATCAGAAGTCGAACCAGCAGAAGTTTTATTTAAAGCGCAGCGCGTGGAAATTAGCAGCAAAGAAAATGCTCGTAAATCCAAAAGGCAATAGTAAAATCAACAGCAACAACAATTACGTAATTGCTGCTAGCCTTGGTGCTGGAGCTGCTGCTGCGGGTGGTGGTGCAATATTTCACCAAGTTTTTTTTTGTTTTTTTTTTGTTTTTATTGAATTGCTAACACAAAGAATTCGTTGCAATTTAAGCAAATTAGTGAACCACTTCACGAAAGGGCGGCGCAGCGAAACCCTACAAAGTACGGACTCATAACGGCACGCCGTCCTGCTGCCCCATATGAATGCACATAAATACTATGTGCAAATTAACGTACGATAACGTCTTTATCTGTGTGTGTGAGTGTGGCTTTTGTGCATATACAAACATACATACATATGTATGTACGTGCAAGGATATGCGCCTATGACGTTAGTGACATAACGTTGTAATTATAGAATGAAAAAAGGGAATCCTTGAATATATGTAAAGGCAATAAGGGATGAGTGCGTGCTTTCCTGCATGATGGGCGCTAGAGAAATACACAAAAAAAGTATTGAAGGGAGTTGCATGCAAAATCAAAAGGAGGGAGGACCATTCAGGAGGTCATTCAGCAGTGACTCTTATCGTCGTCTTGCTGCACACGTTCAAGGAATAATGTGCGAACATTGCGTTCAATGCTAAAACGCCAACAAATGGGAGGAGGAGAACTGATTTTATCGTGCTTGCTTTGTCGACTTATGTACATTCATATTGTGACGCTGGTGTGCTTTGAGGTTGGCATAGCGTATTTCTCTGTCAATAACCCCCCACCCCCCGAGACTTTTGCCAATCTTTAATAGATTTTTGCGCTCCACTTGCTTATAAGTTTGAGTAAAATGTCAATAAGCATAAGAAAATAAATTCGCCAGCACCCTCGACCGTAAAAGTAAGGCTTTCTGCTGCCACCCAGTGAGCGAGTAAAATTGTATGGCCATCCGTAGCCCACCAGCACTGTTGTTTATCACTTCCGTTGAAAGCAATTCAAGACCACCAACAAACAACCTCCCTCACCGCAGCGTTTCAGACAGCCTAGCACAGTGTGGTGGTCTTGCGTTAAAACTTATTGGATGTTATGAAATTTTGTTACTTAATAAAGTGAACGTTAAAACGTTTGGGAGTGATCTATGGACACGAATGTTTGGCTGAAAGTTGCCATTAGTCATAAACAGGAACGCAGAATAATGATTATTTTGAAATTTTTACCATAAATATGAAAAAGTCTTGATAGTCGCAAAACAATTTTAACTATACTCACGGATCTGTGTTCGTACGTCCTACTGTAATTTACAATAAATTTTAGTTTTCAAGTTCAACTAAAAAAGATTAAAAATATTTAATATTTGAGTTTTATTTTTTCGCTCAAAGGAAATTATTATCGATTTTTGTTTTTTTTTCAGTTAAGAATAATGATCATTCAAAAAACTCCAAAGCTATACCAGCGTGATTTCCGGCGTATCCTTTTCAGAGTTAGCGACACCCTAATAAAAGGAATAACTCTCAAAATTTTCAGGTCAAACTTTCAGTTGGTTGCGTCTGTATGACGTGTTACTTTTTATGGAAATTAGAACATTTTATGGGAATTGGAAAAATTAGACTTAGTAATAAATATTATCTCTGAGCGAAAAAATGAAAAATAAAAAAATTATCATTATTTGCGATTGAAATAATAATTATTTACGTAAAGCGGAAAAATAAAACTCAATTATAACTATTATTTCTAAGCGAAAAATAAATATTATAAAATATTAATTAATAGCTGATTTAAATTATGTTACTCATAATGATTACCGTCCCTGGTTATAAGTGCACAAAAGGTTCGAAAGTTTTTTGAAAAATTTCAAGCGGGCGCTAATGAGGGAGGCACTTACTGGATGGTATAACATGGAATGGAACGGAATTGTGGGTGATCGGAAAAACCAAAACCAATTTTCCCACGCACTCAGGCCGTATTGTCCATTGTACTTGAATAATTCGTAAAAGGGGAGAGCCGGATGTTTGCATATATTTATATAAAAAAAAAATATTTATTAGATCATGTGCGATGATTCAGTGCGATTATATTGGTATTTATTATAAAATATAATAAGTAAAACTGCATGAAATTGAGAAAAATGTGTCAAAAAAATATGGTTTTCGTGATAGTAAATGTTTTACAATCGTATAGCATCAGCGCAACTCGATTTTTCAATGCCAACGTTCTGACCAAAAAAGTTCACCCACTTATCGCGCAAATTTTCGCCTCTTGGCAGACCAAACAAACGCAGAAACTTTTTCCAATCACAAAGAATTTCACTTTATATTAGGAGATCTGTAGGTTGGTCTGTCTGTTGGTTCGTGCTGCGGACGCTGCTTTTTTGTCCGCACCACCTTTAGTCAATTATCCAGTCCGTTACTTTCAGTATTGCAAAGACTTTCTATTGAAAGATCATCTAGAGGTGCCAAATCTAACAAAACATTTATAGCCAGTCCTGATGTTTTGCTAATGGTGCCCGTAATGCTTAAACATACACACTTTTATAGCTTGGTTAACAATGTCTAACCTCCATTTACTATTTGTATAGATCTTATTCAAAATAAGATTAAAAAAAACCCTTTATGGTGAGAGCTGATGGATTAAAAAGAACTACGAAACATGTAATTAAAAAAAAACGCCTTTTTTAAAGACAAGCTTTACTCAATAAAACTTCAGATTTTTACGCAACTAGAGCGCATTCATTTTGTGTTTAACCATCACTTATGGATGCGACCGTTTTGGCATAGTTTAGTTGAGGCGCTAGATAATGCATTAGTAATAAACCTTGTTATGGTTAACGAAAATACTGGGAAACTGAAATAGTTTGAGAGAAAACACGAATATGTTTAGTAGTGCTTCCATAGATTCCAAATAATATTGTGAAGATACGTTTAGAATGACTTAGATGACGCGAAGAGATACAACTTAGAAGGGTATAAGAAAATAATTTTGTTCTGCCGCTATCACCGTTCAATCAAATGCAAAATGTAATCAATAAAAGTAATAGAGGAAATTTTTTGGTGTCGATTCCTTATCAAGTGTTCATAGCGTTTTCGACATTACAGTTTTAATGACCAAGAAAAAAGAGCAAAGTGTGAACCACTTCAGATCCTGTTCCATGTGCACTTTGGTGCCATTTGTAAAGGTCGAGGTTTCGTTGTCACTTCTATTGGAAAAATTAATTTAGAAGCCAGGGTCTCGAGGTCAATTTCCATGACTTGATAATCGCAGTTTCTGCAGTCCACCCCAAACTCTCACCAGAATGATAGCACGATACCGGCAAGTTGTTCGCAGTCTTTTGGATGCCCCAAGTCTCTGCGCGCTCTTAGCTGCGGATTTTTCACCAATTTTTCCATTCATCAATACATCTAAGCTTAAAGGTGAAAAGCTGCCAAGTCCACTTATTTTCAAAACATAGTTTTAGAAGCTGAATGACATATAATGCGAAGCAATTTAGATTTTTCGTTTCACCTGAAGGGGAGACCTACAGTTTTAGGCCGACTCCGAACGGTGATGGTATTTTTATGTGAAGCTATTTTTCATGGCAGAAATTTCACTCGGAGGTTTGCCATTACCTGCCGCTGTTTGGAAAAACAACCTTTTTTTATATTATATTTTATTATATAAAAATGAAATATTTATCAAGATTATCGACTAAATAATCTGAAAACTTTCTTAATGATTTAGAACAAACGAATTCTTGGAACAACATATGTACCAGTGAAATTATTATTTTATTAATTTTTTTTTTTTATTTTTATATTAATTTTTTCCATAAATCAAAGCACTCTAAACTCTTTTAACTGAATTAGTCTTTATTTTTTATATCCGCATTTCGGTCGCAAGTGCCACACAGTGCGCGCGCCCCGCAAATGCTTATGTAAGCTGCATGTAAGTATGTGCACAGATGACATGCTACTGATTGAGCAAACTGGCAGACGGCTTCAGCGGTTATTGGCAATTGTCGAATTTTACCGTGCCGTGCATTTGCAGGTTTTTTTAAGCATTTATGTAGATAATTTCCCTTCGCATCCCCATCGCGCGAGTATTTTAGATCCATGTATGTATGTATGAATATGTGTGTGTATGACTGTACGCAAACTGTGTTTTATGATAGAGCAAAAGGCAAAAAGAAAGAAAAACTATTACATATGTATATAAAGATAGCGTAAAAAGTTAAGCTGCATATAGCGCGCGCGTGCCACATCGATCGCGTATAAAGGAATGTTCAAGTGAAATGTGTAAAATTATGTACCTAGTGCAGCGACTATAATATACTATGTATTCCTAATACTAATCAACAAAATCAACTGTGTGTGTGTGTGTGTCAACATGAATATGTACATCTAATAAATAGTTTCTCTTTGTTGTATGTATTTCTTTCAACCGTTTCCAACTCGCTGACATTTGCCAACATCAATCAAAAACGTCATCGCCGTCACATCGTCACTACGACTACCACACCACATAATTGCCTTCTGTCGATAAACGTGTATGCGCGCCGTCGTGCAGTAGTGTAAACTTAGGAAACAGCCTAACAAAAAAAAAACAAGTGTGAAAAATGCCATCAGCGTTCCGCAGGTGCACGCTGCAGGCCGCGTTACTCGCCTGTCTATGCATGGCTATGTCGCCTTGGCGCGTCAGCGCTAGCATCCTTGAAAAACTTCGCGATGATTCAGATCTGTCGCAGGTAAGTGAAGTCCACCTTACTACACATTAATTTAATGCATTTTTTTTGAAGAATTTTTATTTATTTTTTATTTAAGTTGCTTTTATAGTTTCGTTTCTATTTTTGTTCGTTTAATCTTCTTGCTAATGCCAGCGTTAGTAGTGTTGTTGTTGTTTGGTTTGGTTTAGTTCGGTTTGTTAGCCGTTCTTGTTTAAGATCTCGTCCTTGTCGTTGCTCTCCTCGATTCGCTGCTTGTGCTTGTTGTCCTCCACCTTTGACTTTTTGCCTTTGTCCTCTATGCAGCATACGTACAAAGATTTATACATATGTATGTGCGCCTACATGTATACTATGTAGTATCAACTTCTATATAAACATTGTACTTATTCAAACAGAGTAGCTGTATATGTTTGCTTAGTGTTTCTGATCCTTTTCAGTTGGCATAATCCTCGCGCAAATACTTACATACATATGTACATGCATACATACACTTAAGTATTTTCATGTCAACAGTTTGCTACAGTTGGCAACAATTCCCTGACCCAATTCATATTTGCTCCACATCATTCACACTCTCATTCGCATCGCGTTGCAGCGTTTCTAATGGCATTGTTGTTGTCCTTGAATTGCCGCCTACCTGCCCGGTACCTGTATGAGAGCTATGTATGTATGAATTTATGTACATATATATATAACAGGGTATGTATGCAGTATGCAGCGCGCTCTGGGGAACAGCCAATTTGTGGCCGCGTCGCTGGCAACAGCTGCTCATTCATATTTCAATGTAGCGTTCAAGCATCATAGCGCCCGAGATGCAGTTTACGCGTCGTGGAATTGAGTTGTGGTGAATAGTGTTTTTTTTTAACTGACAAATTGTGATTGCGTCCTTGACCTCTCCCGTTGAGCGAGAAAGAAAATGTTTGAAGGGAAATGGCAACAACATCAAAAAAGCGCCTCTGGGAATTAGCGTTGCACACAAGTTATATTTAACTTAATGGTTAAAGTACTCGTGTACGCATTTTTATGTATGCACATACATACATACATATTTATGTATGATCTACATATGTTTGTTTAAAAAATCGATAGTTACACAAAACGGCTGCCTTAATTTGTTGCACTGCTGTGAGAGGTTGGCTGGCCGCGGCCTTGTTTCGTATGCTTGTGTGTGGCTGTGCTGTGCTGTGCTGTACTGTGCTTGTGTTCGCATTAGTAGGGTTCGTGTGCTTCCGTTTTAGCACAAGTATAACAAGTACCCCTCACCTGTGCTCACCTTTAGTTAACTAACATCCTGAGTCAGTAGTAATCGATATTTTTCATTTTGCTGCTGCTTTCTTGCTTTATTCGTTTCACCCTTTGGTCGTGCGAATTTTTTATATTTTCTCAGACTTTTTGACATTTGGCGACCATAGCGGATGGTCGAAATTGTGTGTGTGTGTGTGCTAATCTGTATACGTACGTACATACACATAACGTTTACGTCATCGCTGCGTGTTTTATGGTTTACATAAGGGTTTTTTCGTTTTTTTTTTATATGAAGAAGAAGAGTTGGAACGATACAGGTACTCAATTCTGACGTTACATGTTGTACCTACTGAACTACTTAGCAAAAATCAATATTTGAAAAGGGGATTCGGATGCTGTAAACCTGTTGCTTCTTTGTCATGAATTGATTTGGATTAACTACTTTTACATATAAGTAGTCAGTACCAGCAGTAATCTAATTTTAGTGATTTATCTGCTGTAATATACGAATTAACTTTAAAGCTTGCCATGCCTATTAAGCGCGCCGGACAGCTTTGGTTGGCCAGTGTAGTCACTCAATCCCATAGACTAGGCGCAATGATGAAACAGATATCAATTTTCTTGGCAACCGGGACCAACTTTTTGATGCCTCTTTTTGCGATCAACCCCAGATTCGATAGAAGACCGACCCCAGCCGGCAGAGCCGCAGTCAATCCGTCTGCATCTCAGCAGGGCTGCACACCGCTCCTAAAATCGTTGCGGTGTAACAGCGCACTTTAAGGTTATTAAATTTGAAATAAAAAAACGACGTTTTCACTTCTTTAAGTTAGAAAATCTCATAAACCTTCCTTGCTAGAGTACTTCTAGATTCAACGCAAATAATTGCTTAGTAATTAAATGCTTTAATTTTAGGGGTCATGGTGACAGTTGATAAAAAAAAACCTGTTGGGCTTAGTGTGAGAAAGGTAAAAGTCATAAACAAAATACGTCTCCTCATTTACCCACTTATAATTATTTGGTACTTTTCTCTTTTTTTTTTATCGAAAAATTGACTTGGAAATACAGGTGCTAAAGATTATTACTAAAAGAAGGTGCGAGGACCGATTCGTCAGGTCTTGAACTTGTATCTAGTTTTCGACCATATAATTGGTGTTTCAGCTTCTTATCGCGTTATAATCATCCAATCTTCCCCATATTCTACATTTAGGACTTTCTAATAGAAGAGAGAGTCCAAACTAAATTTCATCAAAATCGGCTGGAATTTAATGTTTCCGCCCACAAAAGTGGATGGCGTGGTAATTAGCCCGTTTTCACCATATTTTATAATTTCCTATCCTTAATAAAAATTAGAGCACATGTTAAATTTCAGCTAAATCGGTGCACGTTAACAATTTTTGCCCAACTACCTGCATAGAGATGAAACACTGTGCGACGTCAGGATTTCTTGAAAACTTAGAAATTTAAAAGTTAGGATTAATTCAGAAGGACAAACGGGTATTAGAAATGCCCTTATAATTAATTCAATTTAGTCTTTAACATGCAACTCTTTCAAAAATTTTGCGAATGTTCAAGGCTATTCAAGAATAAAATTTTAAAAGGACATTTTCAATACCTACGCGTCCTTCTGCACCAAAAATTGTTTATTTTTTAATTCTACAGAAGTTTCTCTCTTATTTGATAGCCACATTCGATATTTTACATTGCACTGAAACGCAGTTTTACTATTTCTGGTCCCTAGTGTGCACGGTGCACGGTGTTATCATAAGTAATGCGAAACTTAAAAGCATGAGATGCCAACAAACTATGTTTGTACCTAACTACATATGTTTGTAGAAGACTAGCGTCTTCCCTTCTAAGAGATATGTATGTAAATTAAAGTTTATGAGCTTACTAAGTTCCACACATGGTTCTATTCCCTGTAGCTTTGTGATTTGGTCCTCACATTTTCCGCCTGCTGGATCATATACAGGTCATACTCCCGTTGACTTTTAACACCCAATCCAGTTTGGAGAGGGACTTACAAGATTATCCACAACGCCCCCTTCATCTATGATGGCTGAAGAGGAAATGTGCATCTAGCAGAATCTGAGGTGATTCCTCACTACTTTCAGTTCAATCACCGTCGTCCTTCTTGATGACTTTCTGAACTATAGGACCCTCTTACAGGACCTTCCTAATAGTCTTGTCGTTGCGCTGTAGCTCTCAACAATACTACAAATCTGTGGCGATAAGCTTTTATTTTCTTGACGTTTAGAGTTTTGTAGATTGCCAAAAGATCTCTGAAGAGTACAGCACCTAGCATATTCTGTAATACGCGACTGATAGCAAGTAAAAGTAGGAACAGTGAAAACTGTTTGTAAATCAGGTCAATTGTACTGTATTTTGTTAAATTGTATACATATGTGCATAAATATGTATATACATATGCAGGCATATACTGGTAATTATATCGTCAATAACAACTTTTGGGGAAAGTAGGCTTAATTATGCAACAAAACGTTCAGAAAATTTTTCTTCGGTTGATATATTAAAACGTCGAAACTAATTGGTATATTAAACATAATTTAAATGTACATACATTTATAAATATTTATGTGCAAGTAGTGCCTGTGAGTCATTGCTTCTATAATTTAAAGAATGCAAGCTACTGGCGTTCACACCTCGAATGTGTGACTTTCTTTTATGGAATTATTGGTTTCCCCAAAAATAAGTAATCATTATTCTGCAAACGTACACGAAGGTACACTGTATATAGTACATGTATGTGCACATTTATGTAAAAGAACGAAAAACTTAAAGTACATACATTAACACGCTTACGTACTTACATCTGTACATACGGATGTATGCATGTACATTAGGGTGGTAAAAAAACAGTAAAGTCGGAATTGTAACGCTCTCACCATCTAGGATCGTTCTATATCGAAAAAAAGTTTACCCTTATTTTTTTATTTTGAAACAAAAAAATGTTTAGAGGTCGCTCAAAACGTTCAAAGTTTTCCATGTATTTTTATATGGGAAAAATACATTTTTTTGTAGAAATGGTATAGAATTCTTGAAAGTGAATATTTTTCGATCGAAGAACTCTGGTTCTCTTCAGGATACTTTCAATAATAATACCCAATTGTTTATTTAACAATTTTTTAATACTAACGATTTTTTATTGCTCGCCCCATTGCATCTTTTGGGGGTTCGTGGGTTTTTGGCGGATCTATAAATTATAGTTGCAATGAAAAAATGGTTAAACAAACAATTGGGTATTATTATTGCGAATGTCCTGCAGCTACGCAGAGGTTTCTGGTAGAAAAATATTGATTTTTAACTATTCTATACCATTTTTACGAAAATCTGGTTTTTCCCCATATAAAATATATGGAACACTTTGGGCGCTTTGAGCCATCTTTAAATATATTTTGATTTAAAATAATAAAAAAGGGTATATTTTATGTCGGTATAGAACAATCCTAGGGGGTGAGAGCATAAAAATTCCGACTTCGTTTTCCCCCCTCCCCACCTGCATTTTTGGACTACCCTAATGTTAGGGCGGTTAAAAAGTACATAGAAAAATCGACTTTTTAAAACTCTCCAGCGACCTTCAAAATTATTCTGGCAGGTTTTAAAATCCACTTTCAAGGGAACTTCACCCAAAGCCACATTGAATTCAAATAGAATTGGGATGCGAATTGCAGAACCTGTCTGATATAGAATGAAAAAAAAAACGTTTTTGTAATTTTGAAAGCGGTTAATGTTTAATGGTGTGCGGTGTGGAAAATCTA